TGAGTACCTTTGTAATGTCCCCTTTGTTTAGCCCTGCCTTCCACTTGTACACCTCTATCAGGTCGCCCCTCGCTCTACGTCTCTCGAGGGAGTGCAAATTAAGATGCTTTAACCTGTCTCTATACTCAAGGTTCCTAATGCCCGGGATTAGTCTTGTCATTCTCCTCTGAATTCTTTCCAAGGATTGTATATCCATTCTGTAATACGGTGACCAGAACTGAACTGCGTAATCCAGGTGTGGTCTCACAAGAGCAAGATACAGTTTTAGGATGACCTCGCTAGTCTTGTAACTAACACTCCTTTGTATGAACCCAAGTACTTTATTAGCCTTGTTACGAGCAAAAACACATTGTTTACTTGGCTTAAGGTTCCTACTTATCATTACTCCTAAATCTCTCTCGCAGTCGGATTTCTCTATGGCATCGTTGTTCATCTGGTATCTGGTTTCCCTGTTTACATCTCCTATACTGAGTACTTTACATTTGTCCACGTTGAATTTCATCTGCCATTTTTCAGACCATTCGAAAAATTTGTTTAGATCTTCCTGTAGTTTTGCCGGAGTCCTCGTCAGATTTGATAACACGTCCTATTTTAGTGTCATCAGCAAATTTACTTATGTTGCTGTCTATGCCGATATCTATGTCGTTTATGTATATAATAAACAATAATGGTCCAAGTACTGAGCCTTGGGGAACTCCACTTGTGACGTTGCTCCAATGGGACTTAGTGCCGTTAATGCTCACTCGCTGTTTCCTGTCCTGTAACCACGCCCTAATCCATTTAAGGATGTCACCTTTGATGCCATGAGCTTCTACCTTCTAATTAGTCTTTCGTGGGGACTCTGTCGAAGGCTTTGCTAAAGTCGAGATATACCACATCATAATTGTGCCCTCGTCCACTGATTCGAAAACTGATGAAAAGAATGTTAATAGATTAGTTAGGCAAGAACGTCCGCTTGTGAAGCCATGCTGGGAATCATTGATCAATCGGTGCTTCTCCAGGTGATTTCGAATAGAGCTTGAAATGATTGCTTCCAGTAATTTGCCTACTATTGATGTTAGACTGATTGGGCGGGTGTCTCTGAGACGGCACCTACACCGGGGAGCTGCACACCGGAGGAGCCTCGGGACATTGTGGAGCAGTCGGAGTCTCCTGTCACAGCGCCCCCGACCGAGGCTAGTCAGTTGCCCCCCTCAGATCGATATGTGATAACTTGATAGGTTGTGTATTTCTTAAATGTTGTAATTGTATTGATTTTTATTGTTAGTGTTTCAAGTTTTTAGTTAATGTTTTAATAAATGTGGGGGACTGTTAAGTTTTTATTTGGGGTTTCGAATGCTATGAGTTGGATTCATACAAACTGTTGTATGGCGGTTTTTGAGCCACAGCAGTCAGTCCTGCCTCAGCCTGCAGCCAGGCAGCAGCATTTTGGGAGTCTGTTAATAAACCTTTTATGGAAGGTCCGGCATTTGTTTGTCTACCTGAAGTACTCCAAGTTATTACAGATGATAAGACAGAAAGACAAAGAAAATGTGATAACTGCTGCACCACGTAATCAAGGCGAGCGAATTTAGGCAAGGCGCCATCTGAGTGGCGATGAAGGAACACTAAGAGGTAAAATATTGACCCAACTTTACAATACATCCTTCAGATATTTTTCTAAGGGTATGTTCGGTCCCTCCTTGTGGTAATCCGATTAGTGTAGCCACGATAAACGATGAGTGAGGGAAGGGAGAGCCTCGGGAACCTTAACATATAGATATACATGGGAGGAAACTCTTAAATCATTTTTATGGTGGAGGTGGTGAGGATGGTGGAGGTGGTGATGGTGGTGGAGGGGGTGAGGATGGTGGTGGAGGGGGTGAGGATGGTGGTGAACATTGTGGTGGAGAAGGTGGTGGTGGTGGTGGTAGTGGTGGAGGAAGTGAGGACGGTGGAGGTGGAGGAAGATGTGAGGATGCCACCTAAGCTATCATATAACACTTGTAGGACTGACACGTGTTTATGCAGTTCGTTTCTGTGAGGAGAGTAACATTATAATACTGCTACTACTAATAATAATGTTCCCTGCTTTGTGTCCTTTATAAAGGTAATACAGAGGCTGGACGTAATGCAAGAGAGACTAAAAGACTCCCTCTGATCACTCTGGTTTCAGTACCAAAGAGATTGTTGTCATATTCCCCGCCAGAGCTTAATACATCCGTTCCTCGTGTCACCACCACCAGGATGGAAGGTATTTATTACTCCTCTACCAGCTGGGAGTGACCACAATCTCAGTAATACTCGTGGGAGTTAGGAAATATTCGGTATGCATTGTTCTTTTAAGTAGATACCGTATACAATTGTTAATATCAATAGACTCGCCCCCCCCGGACCAGGAAATTACAGATAAAGTCAAGTATTTCCTCAGAGTCTGTTATCATACACTATCTGGACCCCAGGGACTTCTTGTGTACCAACCACTATACTACGAATCGGTACATTGAACTTAGAAAGAGTTAAACATTCAGTTCTATATTATCACTAGTGAATTATTTTGTAACTAGTTCAGTTATTAACATAAGATGTGAGAACAATGTGAGATGTTAATCATTCGTAAATCATATTAATATTTATTTAAATATTTGGGAACATGAGTTAGCATCACTACGTCGTTATTAATTAATAAAGCTGCGTCTTCCTGTCCGTCATGTACAGTATGTCTCCCTCAAGAGAACAAATAAGTTACTTTACAGATTTTGATATTTTACTAGACTTATGTATTAATATTCTGGGAAGAATTTATTAAGTGTTTTGATGTACACTCGGAAACCATATTCTCTAGCCCACCTGGGTCGGTGCTGGAGGTTAGTACAGTGTCCTTTCTGGACGGGGGACCCCACTAACACGAGGCAACACACGCACGAACACACACAGTATAGTACGGCTGTATAGATGACATTATGTATAAATATTGTATATGGCATTTTATACTCTGCATTATCTTCATTATATATGAACACGAAGAACAATTACCATAGGTTGTAGTTACGAAAGTATGAATGGAAATAAACATTTCCAAACCACCCAGTGAATCCACACAACGTTTACAGCGCTTGTGTGTGTGTGCCAGACCACGATGCTTCTTCCACACCCCATCATTCGCGTAACTATATGAAAAATCGTGTTTAATTTAACTACATATTTCAAAAACCTTAAATTACATGTGGATCAGTCACTCCTCATTTGACACACTTATAGTGTAATACTTTGACCATCCCACCTGGGCACTTGGAGGCCCACGGTAACTCTCACGGGGCAACATACGCACGAACACACAAGTTATGATATGAACCCTTCCAGGCTTCACTATCATTATCATGTTAAGTTCATCGTGCTCTGTATCTTGGTAACTAGTCATAGTATCAATACATGACAGTGTTATTAGTATAATATTGTAACTTTTGCCCTACAGTTATTGTTGTAAATCATGGACAGGAAGGATACATAAATTGTAATATCAAGTGTTTGGTTCGCTCAAAGCCACCCCAAGTCAGACAACGCGTCACACAAAGTTACACTGTGTGTGTGTGTATGTTCTGTAACATTAAGCTTCATCCTTAGTTGGTAAGATGTTTCATAAAGAGGTTTCTCCCATTCGTCATTGTGAGCATCGTCCCAGAGCACATTGTTTCCATCAAAACCATGGTTCATCCTTATTTCCCTTCTTTCGTGTAACTAAATCCATATGGCTAAGTGCTTGCTTTTCATTTCTTTATTTACCAAAATAATGTGGATCAGTTACACGTTATTTCACACATACATGCACTAAGAGCATCAAGATTGTTTTGTAGGCATGACTATTGGTTAATTGAAACCCCAAAAATGTGGTTTTACGTCACTTCACATAAATATGCTTACAAAATCTATGCATTAATATGCATAACTCTTGGGAATCTGTCCAGACATTAAATATATGTTATATATTACACTAATCACATAGATATGTTTCCAATGTTTATGCATAATAAATGTGAAAAATATTTTTGGGGTTAAAATTCACCAATAGTCATGCCTACAAAACAATCTTGATGCTCTAAGTGCATGTATGGTAAATAAAGAAATGAAAAGCAAGCACGGCTGGCGGTGCAGATTGTGTTCGGTGGGACAGGGTCAACTCCGTCACTCATACAGGAGAAACTATCACATGACATGATTCCTAGACGGCCAGGGAGTGAAAATCTAGAGCTGGTTATTTGTATTTCAATGTCACATTAGATAGCCATCCTAAGGTTAGGAGACGTAGACGAAAAATTATGAAAATACTCGTACACATATAAGTAAAAACAAGATTTGTGTTTGAGAGAGGTGGTGGAGATCAGCTACAACACTACAGGAGGCCAGTACTTCAACGTAACGTGACTCGCTGTAGGTCGGAAGAATAAACAAGGAACATCACTATGAGAGTCACATCGCTGAACACAACAGATATGAATTTTTCGTCCATAGTATTAATGTAAGTGAAATGTCGCTGGAGTTTTACGTAATCCACCAGGATGAAAAATATGAGAAGTTTTTTTTTTTGGGGGGATTAGATTTGTCGAAAGAGAGTAAAATATCTCCAGCATTTACTGAAACAGGGATGGTATAACACGACTCTAAGTGGAACATGTCTTGCACGACTGGCAGGTTAACTGTGGCAACAACTCGAGTTAGATGACTTACACCGAGACTCGCCAGTAGCTGGATGATTCATCTTATCTTTCATATTACGGGAAGAATTTTTCATAATTTTGATCCTGGGTGGTGGAACACAAGCTGGTGAAATTTGTTGTCCATAAGAGATGCGAAAGTGACCGAGACAGTGAAGGAGATGAGGAGGAGGGTGACCTTTGACAGACTTAGACTTGACCGAGTGATGAGAAGAGTAGCACCAACAACTTACTCTGGACTGATGAGACCTGCCAAGTGACATACTGGACATTGACACACACAGAACAAGAGTGAATGATTTGACTTACTCAATATGTATCCCTCGAGGTGGCACCAGATCCTCCCCAGGGGCCAGAAGTAGCTGACCTGTTGTATGGTGAAGGGGATGGGCCCCGCCAGGGAGGTGATGAGGTCAGCGACGGACATGTTGAGGATAAAGAGGTTAACGGAGGTCCTTAGCAACAGACGGTTCTTAAGGAGGATGATGATAATGCACAGGTTGCCCAGGAAGGCCACCAGTACCACCAAGGTCGCGTACGTCCACCTCACCGCCACATCCCAAGGCTCGTGGTGCGTTATGTTCATTTTGTCCGTGTAGTTGTAGTCTTTGAAACATATTGTCACATTGTTGCTGGAGGTACAACAGTTGTCGTCACAAATCATTTTCTCGAAGGGGAAAGTGTCAAATATTGGGTTGACGTCCTCACTACCCGGAAACACTTGACCTTCCATTATCAACTGTAATGAGACGTGTACTAAAGAAGAAACTCCTTCTTAGATCATAGTCTTTCGTTACGCCATCTTGAATGCTGTTGACTCAATTTTATAAATATCGTGCTGTGGAATATTAAGCCCCAGTTAACACTATTGTCTTTCTTCCATTTAAATATCACAACACTAACTGTAGCTCCGTCATCACACTGTACCTCCCGATGGGTAGAACTACAAGACTGTATCTGTGGGTGTGAGTAAGTAAATACAAGCGGTGTTTCCGTTTATACACGACCCACATACATTAACTCCTGGTGTACTAAAGCTCGGCGAGTTTCTTGAGGGACTGAGGTAAACACAGAGTGGTACTTGCGCTCTGGCTGACTATCACCCGACTTATCTTACTCGTCTTTATCGTCATGAGGATTCATAATTGTTTCAGCCTTGAACTTTACATCACTAAAGTTAATCCACATTACAGTTCACCTCGAGAACATTGCTTCAAAAAATGTACATGAACACTACATTTTTTGCTAAATCGTTTATTTTAGTAAATATTTCAGTGCAATGAGAGTAAAGGGTTAAGGAAGGTGGGGGATTAGTGGTAACTGAACGATAATCTGATGAGGAGAATCTCGTTGAAGATGTCTCATATCGCTCCCTCAGATATAAGAAGACAATGATAAGAAAATATGACCACTTAAAGGTTTTAACGTGTTCTGAAGGTCTTATCCCTCACAGCCTCCATCTTCACCTTACAAGAAGGATGATATGCTTACAATACAGTACAGTTAAGTGCAGTGCACTACAGTGCAGTACAGAAAAGTAAAGTAAAGTGCACTACAGTGCAGTACAGTACAGTACAGTGCAGTACAGTGCAGTACAGTAAAGTAAAGTACAGTACAGTGCAGTATAGTGCAGTGCAGTACAGTTCAGTACAGTACAGTAAAGTACAATACAATACAGTACAGTCCAGTACAGTACAGTAAAGTACAATGCAGTACAGTGCAGTACAGTACAGTGCAGTGCAGTACAGTACAGTACAGCAAAGTACAATGCAGTAGAGTGCAATGCAGTACTTAACACAGCGGATTCCCTTCTCAAAAAGGATAACTTTTCGTAATTATTGTTATCACTCCGTGGATTATAATACATAAATCATTAAATTGAGTATTTCATACAAGAAATTGTCTGCTCTCTTAACACTACAAAACTATTTGAATTAGATCAAGGAAGGTTCAGTTTTATTTATTATGTATCATTATGTAAGGTTATGTTACTCAAGTTGATATTGGTAATATTCATTTAGTTTGTAGGATCTTTGACTACGTGATTATTCCTACGAACTATACAAATTAGAGCGATTTGTTTAGAAAAAAAAGTATACAGGGTGGGCATAAAGTCTTTCCCTGATTATGAAAAATCATATCTCGAAGACCATTCTAGATAGAAACATGAATGTTGTAGCATTGTGTAGACGAATTTATATATTTTTTTTTCATGCATATTTTAAGCTGTAAAAAACTGTATGTTTGTACCTACCATATGTTTTGTGTAATAAATGTGTGTAATCAGGGAAAGACTTTATGCTCACCCTGTATATATTAAAATAATCGTTATGATACAATTACCCCAGTCGTTAAATTGGGATAATCACGGATGAGGTCCTGTGTACATTAAATCAGAATAAGATAATATAATGTCTTCACAATGTAACTTCTATCTGATGGGACCATTGAGGAGCCAGGGTTAACTTGCCTCTGACCGTGCCTGTGTGTGGTCAGATGGCATCACTCTTGGTGCACGTGACCCCAGCGATTATATCCACCAGCTGTCAACGATAACCTCTTCTTGATGGTCTGTTTAATTACAACGTAGATCAGTTCGCCTAACATGACCACTGATAGAGGTCACCACCAGTCTAATTTTGCCTTCTATTATCACGTTGATCCTTCACCCACAGGTTGTTTGTAAGAGGAAATACAGGTATGAGATAAGCAGCAAGGAGCTGATTTCTTCACTCCTATGCGGGTCACGGAAATTTTCCCGGCGTTTTTGGTACACTGAGAGTGATGGACATTATACAATGTACCCAACTTTGTTTTGATCGACTCGCGGTGTTTTGCTGCCTTTATGTTACGCCCTTTGTCTTCAGTTTCTCGTTATGACTTCGCAAAAGTAAACAACTCCTCATTAGCGGCCACATCGGAGAGTTCATGCTGCCTGGCCGTTACGGACCTCATACAATGCATCTGAAAATGGTGTAAAGCGGTTCCTGAAGACAGCTTAGACTTTAACTCATATAATTATTAAATTTCAGATAATAACTGAAGTGATAACAAGAGCTGGCACAACATATTGATAAACAAACAACCCAGGTTTGAACATATAAATCCTGTTTATTTATTGTTACCAGGTTCGAGACTGTGGAACTCACACACCATGGACCTACTTGTGAAGTAATATTAATGTCATTATTGTCCTCCCCAGCCCATTGAGTAGTGACTCGACCGCATCATCGAGGGTAACCTGAAATAATGACCGAGTTGTTTCATTTAGTTTATCTCATTATCAATTATTACTTGTTACTCCTGATCATCAGAAACATTCGTCATAACTGACTTCTAAGGACAAAGTTTGTTAACATTCCATACACGAGACATGGTCAGAAAAGGAATTAGCGCCTTAATCAAAATACCCACAGATAAACAAGTAACAATAACAGTAATACTCTGGGAAGTAGAAATTCCTAATTATGTAAAAATTCACGCAAAAATTAACAAATATTAGGATCACAACACATAAAGCAGCACGTCTACGACCCGCCGTGGGCGACTCTACGACAAATACTGGAATATAACTTCGAAAGTCTCAAAGCAAGATTCAGGAATATCCAGACTATACTGTGTCGTGTGTCAGGCTACAACTCAAGTCACCGTGTATGTTTTACGGTTCGTAAAGCATACACGGTGACTTGAGTTGTAGCCTGACTATTAGCCCCCAACGTAACATAATCTAACATCATAACATAACGTAACATAGCCCTCAGGTAGCGTTAGGATGTTTATTCATCAGGTGAAATAAGCTGAGGGGGACTAATCATCAGGTGATCTAGTTGTATTAACACCAACGTGTATGAACATCCATAGGTGATTGTATCTGTACAAGGATAGTATTACGAACTGTAGGTTTATCCCCCCCCCCCTGTGATGCACAGAGACAGGCTGTATGAAGCCATAAATGGTTTAGTGGTAAACTTGGGTGTCTAACTCCGCATTCATGGCGGTAATCGTTGTTCATGACCTTTATTACACCGGTTAGTGCTCGTTCGAGAATCCCGAGCGATTTCTGTGGCGAAGTTCGGAAACCAGTTCACAAGATTCGCCTAGCGAACTAAGAGAAACACATAATATTGTCCAAGTATCAGGGGCAGAAATTGTTTGACAAATAGTAAATGCAGATATTTAGTCTCTCACCATCTAAGTTTACTCCCTTTTGAACCGGCCTGACATGAACCAGTGAGGGAGGGAGACAGACCCAGATAACACGGACCACCTGCCCCTCGCAAAACTGTCCTGGAAGCGCTCTATGCTGGCCCTGGGATCGAACAGAGGCCAGGAAAGTAGTACGATGCATCAACAAGGCGGCAAGTGCTACTAAAGAAATATTGAAAATTTGAGAAACCCGCTGTACCAGGTGTCAACCTCCTTTACTGACCATTTTCAGGAACCAGTCATGGTTAAGTGAAACAAATCAACTAACTCTCGCAGAGTGATACTAAGAAAAAACAACAACAACAGATAACAGCGTATCTGAAACACCATCCATCTTAACATTTTAGACATTACAAGTGTTATCCCACTGTAAGGCATAGATCAAAACCATAATAATTTTAAATAAAGGAGATAAAGGGTAAACATAACATTTATCCTCCCTGGCTGGTCCACGTGAACACAATAATAACAAAACTGCCCAGGTTGCATGGCGGGGAGTGTAACCACCCACTAAAGACGGAAGATGGAGTAAATCACCCGAGTGTACTGTAGGAGTCCACCTTCGATCTGAAGCATTACTAGTTTAACACACCACCATGACCATGGCTGATAACGTGATGTAATGATTTTAACAGTAATTATGATATATGACACTGGTCGGTTTAATACTACAATACTCAGTGAAATATCAGATATTTGACGGTCTGCCTTCGTGAGCTGGGCTGGGGTTGGTAGTCCTGCACCCCTCCCTGAGCATTGTGGGTAACCAGAATTTCAGAACAGTGATAGTAAACAAGACATTCCCGCACGGACACAAAAAGCGAGCGCTATATGACCGATTTTACCAAACGATCTTCGCCTTGTACACCTAGTGAACGTTATCTCCCCATTCATCAAGAATTTAAGAAAGTCCTGGCATGCAAGACCGGATGGTAGAATTGTTAACTGAAGAAGGAAGCATGGCCGAAATAACGGCAACTTATAACTCTGCTGCTCTCGGATCATGCCGTTCGAAGAAACAGTTGAAGATTTAGGAACGTCTCAAAGCAAAGTTAAGTTTATTTGTCATTTCACTTGTATAAAGAGATACAAAGATATAAGCCTAATACTACAGTAGCTAACTATTTATTACATTCGATGTGAGTGGCCTACACTACTCATATATTAGGTTTAGCCCGCCTACCGATATAAGAAATAACGCTGGTTCGCGTCAGGTCGGTTCGAAAGGGAGTAAAACTTTGATGGTGAGAGATTAAAGATCTGCATTCATTTTTCTTTGTAATACATTTTCGTTTTATGCTCCCACAACCCCACGCATCGGTAAGGTTGCATATGTGTAGATGTGGTAAAAACGTGGGTTTGTTTATTTATGAAGCTCCGACACCAAGATACACTACTTCTCGCGGAAGAATATGGCTAACAACAGAGGATTTCAACTTTCCAGAGCAAATAATTCGTTATGCATAGCGGAGGGAAGAAAAAGTTTTGATGAAAGGAAGTTTTTTAAGAATACCAGCGTTAGTCTGGTGGCATTAAAGCTATTATGAGGTTTGTTTTAATGTCAGTTACTTGGAGCTCCCACCATACCACTCAAACAACAACTTGTGGTCACGATGAACTATCTTACCGTGTGTCGAGGCGACTGAAAGATAAGACATTAACAATATGTCATTACGATACTTACAGGATTAAGATTGCTACTATCATAACAACAGATATTAAGAGCTGGTTCACTCTTCACCATAAAACAATTAGACCAAGGCTTCTCCCAAGGCCACTGTCGAAGTGGTGAACGGCAGTTATATGCAATGCGTTATATACAATGTGTTGAGTTCTGATTGATTAGAATATCACAGTGCCTCTCTTAATCAGTGT